GCTTGTGAAATAGTGTTTAATCTTTTATTTTTCAAAGCTTTTTTTTCCATATATTCATAGAAATTAAGCATTCCAGATTACAAATTTCAAATTGGAAAATATTTAATTTTCCGTAGGGTGATTAATTTCCAATTAATTAATAGCAAAGTAGATCTGCTATTAACATTTATAAAACGTTATTTAAAAAGAAACGAACATTGATCTTCGTAAATTGGAGTGCTTAATTTGGATCTTTTTTTGTTAATTCACCTCAAATAATGTAAACTTCCTTGTTGCAATTATTAATTCACACCAAGAAATTATAAATTTTAAACAAAGTTTGTTTAGCTTGCCATGAGATTGCTGGAGCTTAAATAGTGTATCTAATTCTCTCTTCTTATTCATTTATTTTGGGTCAAAGATTATAGCCATTATGAACTTTTGTGATGAAAAACTTGAAATGAAACTCCAGCTATTTCTTGATCTTTCAATGATCATACTTTTAGTGGAGTTTTAGAATAGACACTCTGACTAGAAATAATCATTTTCTTCTAATTTTCTCTTCGCATTACCATAGATTACTATTATATATTTTGCTCTAAACCTCTCCAAGGGGAGAAGAGATGAATTCATAAACCTTTTTCCAGGGGTATTTGTGTGTAACGGACTCGATTAGAATTAGAACTCATTTATCTGCGTTCTCATTCTGAGCCACTATTCACTACACCAAAAATATCAGCTCACCCGCAAACAATTGAAAGTACCTGGCGGAACGCCAAAATGAAGAATAATCCATGTTCGAGACACATCGCAGTATGACAGTGTGGGGGTATTTACTCACACCATCTTTGTGGATTGGGCGAACAACCACATGGAAATATGCGCCTGTAGATTATTAAAGTCATCATCACCGATTGGAGACCTCGGAACTGTTGTGGAGACAGATAAGGAGGGCTGTTTCTCCCGTCGAAAGAACCATGTTGGACATCAATTTCCAAATCAATGGGTATTTGAGAGCATAGGTCGGGAAACAAAGGAATGTAACATCTATCCTGTGTCAGATAGAACAACCTCCATAAAGCTGTATTTTACCTGGGACTACGATTATGTCGGATTGTTGGAAAGGCCATATATCTTTGAAGGAGGATCACAATGATATTCATCTGACTGTAAATCATAGTATGAATTTCGTGGACCCCAAAATATCAGCTCACACGCATATCGAAAGTACATGGCGGAACGCCAAAATGAAGAATATTCCATGTTCGCGGCACATCGCAGTATGACAGTGTGGGGGTATTTACTCACACCATAGGAGTAGTGGTAGTTGAATTTTAGGCTTGTTTTCACGAAGATAAAAACAGGAAAAATATTCACAATACAGAGAATGCTTAACAAATTTTATGATAATTTCATACAGTTTTATTTATGCATTTTGTGTGTGCATATTTTTCGGTACAATTGTGATAATGTTCATGTTATAAAAGGGAGTAAGTTACTCCGTAATATCACAAGTCCTATCACGGAGGGAAATTACACACGTGTTGTCATCTCGACAGTTCTTAGGCGAAAGGATTGAATATCACGTCTTTTGGCCGGATGTCCGTATTTCCGACAGGAACAGTCCCTGTTGCATGCTGGGAATAATTTTATTATTTTTCATTTTTTATTTAATTTATTTTAATCAAGATTTAAATATTATTGTTTTATTTCATTTTCTATATAACTTTCATTATTATTATTTTACTATTTATTTATAACAATAGTAATATCCCGACAATAGACTCTTATTTGTGTCAGTTCCTTTGGAGATGTAAGGTGAAAAATAACAAATGGAGCAAATTTTAAGGGGCATTTCTGCATTTTGGTGTGAATTTTTCTTTTTCTTTTTGGATGAATTAATATTTTGGGGTGAATTAGCAGAAAAGATCCTTTAATCTATAATAAAAAGAAAATGGAAAAAATGATTAATTCTGGTTTCAATGTCTATTCGAAAACTCCACCAACTGAAAAAAAAAAAAAAAAAAACTTATTAAAATTTAAAAAAAAATCGAACATATTCTAATGTCGGACGATTGCGCGAATTCTTTTCAGCCCAACCAAACAATTTGTTTGTTTTAGAGCACTTTCTGTGGTACAACGATTAGTAGGCGAGTTTGACAGACTAATTTACTAGTACAGCGAGTTGGTGCACAATAGATGCCCTACTAAGATGGCCTTGTTTTGAACTAAGATAAGCTTAGTAAATATCGATACAAATATTTACTTTCGATGTAACAATTATTGTTATATTAAAATGTGCTGACATCAATGGATTAAAAAGAAATATCTTTTTTGAAAAGATACGCTGCTTAGATTCGTCTATAAAAAGTAGAGTTCCTCACCAGACGGTTTATAAAATAAAATGAAATTTCCCCTGAGGCCAGAGAAAGCGTACAGAATATTTCCAAATGAGCCAACATGTCTGTTTGAAAGTGAAATCGAAATTACACTTTGTTGATCTTCATCTGGTGCAAAAGTACCTAGAAATTACTATGCCATAATGCGGGAAGCACGCTGGCTCAAGTGGAAACAGTGGTTCGTTTGATGTTTAAAAAATCACTTTACCACATATTAATCAGTTAAGTATATTCACCGTTCTTTTTTTTTTGTCAAAACTTTTCGGCTGATGTGTTCTTCATCAGGAGTATATTACGTCAGGTGTTGACGTTTTCTTTTTCATTTCTTTTTTTAATGCTATGTTGCTTCAAGACGTAGGCTATCGTCGCTCACCAGAAATCCTGTTTCTTTATTATCAGTGAAATGTCGTGATTTTTTTAAGGAAATATAGTGAAGTGTTTTCCTGTTGCTTTCTCCACGATTTCGAATTCAGAGTTTTTCTTCTCCGATTCTGGTTGCCGCAGAATAAAGAATCGAGTCTACTATTATATTTTTCTTTAATGCTTACAGGGTTCGTTTGTTTGAAGTTATTTTTAATCATTGACTTGAGAAAGCGGTAGGATTATATCTGATATTCTAGACGTCTGAACGAGTTGAACGCCATGCATGGCATACGTGAGTCATCATCTGACGAGATCAAGAACATGACACGAGTTTTCAAGTTTACT